AAGCTTCTCAAACTATCTTCTCACTGTGGAAACATTAGCTGTATCATTCCCATCCCAGACATTCATACATACTGCTTGGGCATTAGAATGCAAAACCCAGACTTCGAAGAAAGAGTAGAACACAGTGTATGTCGCTGCCCTTATTAAATAAGAAATATAAACAAATATTGAATATTTTTAATTGATATAGATGTAATTCTTTCAGACGTTCATACCATATTTGTATGCATGGAATAAATCTTTAAGTTTTTAGTGAGGTTAAGTTAAAAAAAATATAATTTGCGCCGTGATTTTATTTTTGTTGTAAATCAGTGTGTTTCATATTCCCCTTGTAAGCTTATCGGTGGCTTATGCTCATTCTAATTTAAACTGACTGTATTTTTAATGTATTTTCGTAATATGTAAATTTTAACTAGTTGGAAAATTTATTTTTTAATTATTGAGTCGATGAATAATTTTCAGATGCTGAATATATTTAAGGACTGCTCTGAAACATTAACGAACAATTTCATTGCTCTTAAAAAAGAAGGAAAATATATGGATGCTAAGAGGTTAGTTTATTATATTTTTTTCAACGACATATTTTTCTAATACTTTTGTGTCACTATAAAATAGTTTTAAATTATTTATTTCTAATAATAAATATTTCATTAATTTTTACAATGGATTGACATCTGCATTTCAAAGTAATTCTGAAAAATTATTCTCAGAATTTGAATTTCAATGATACAAGAGATTGAAAATTTTCGATTTGAAATTTTTTTTAATCATACCTTTTTTACTGTTTTTGTATCATAAATTCTTTGGAAATAGTTTCTATGATCTTACAATAGGAGTCAATGCTTCATTTAAAAATTTATATGTAAAACATTTCCACATTCCCATGATAAGAATAACAAATGTTTACAATTTTATTCCATTTAATAAACATTTTTACTAGAGTATTAGTGATACTTTTATCACGAAATATCTAACTTCGATGTTCCAGCAATTTTAAATAGTATGCGCATTTCAAATTTTCAAAATCTTACACTTTTGTTGCATATTAAAGTGGTATCACACTGAGAACCAGAAAGAACTTTTTATTATTATTATTATTATTTTATTTTACCGATTCCTAGTACTGCTTTATAAATTCAAGTTTTCTACTGAATAAGGATTCATTCTGAAGAAATCTTAAGTCGTGAAATTTGATAGAAGTCAAGTTGAAAGCAACTTGAAGAATGTGGGACGGAAGAATAAAGTTCTGATTAGCTGGCACTCGTCGTCTCGAATATGTAGTCTGCTGTGTGAATCCATTATTAGAATATATTTTATGTTTATACTAAAACGTTTTGGTATGCTGTAATTCTAATATCGATGATAATCATTTGCCCTCGCTTATTAAAAGATTTTAATGGCTGTTGCATAAACAATCTTATATTACAAATTGTGGACATTTGTGACCTTGTTATTATACACAATGTTCCTTATGAATTGGCATAAAAATTTTCTTTGGGTCTTTGAAAACCAAGAAATTGGTCTATCTCATCTCATCCAAATGTTGGCGCCCTGATGGCCAATTGGCTAGCGCTCTGACCTTTGGTACCACAAACTTAACGCTCGAATCCTGGCGGTTGCATGTATGTTTTTTGGTGGTTCGGAATCCACGTTAAACTGTAGGTCCCGGTCTAATTAGCCTAGCCTAAAGTGTGCACAAAATGACCGTAGAGCAATAAACCAAACCATCCAAGTGTCGACAACATTTTCGTGGATGTTTTTTGTACGGATGAAATGGAGAATTCACCATAAAAATAATATACTTTCAAATTCTTGAAAAAAACTAAATGAATTTTTCTTATAAGGGTAAAAATAGTAGCAGCAGATCAACGCGATCGTAAAACTCACAGCATATCACAGCATATTTTTGGCGAATGACAAAGCTTATTTATTCATAAAATACATGTTCTATGACCCTAAATTCGAACGAATAGTTAAAAAATATTTATGTATTTACATGGAACGTACTTTTTTTGCGTAGAATGTACGGTGCCTTCACGATGGACATCATCGCCAGTTCCGCCTTCTCCACCAAGATCAACTCTCACAACGATCCGGACAACGAACTCGTCAAAATGGCCAGGACTGTCTTCACACAGAGGTTGGGACTCAGGTTTCTCTTTTTCCGTAAGTATTCAAATTTCTCATGGTAGCAATTTCCGATTATCAATTCTGTGGGAGTTGTGTGAAATTTTGATAAATTGAGTAGAATGACAATGTCTGTACAAAAATAAAATACCAATTAGGAGTGTTAAGTTATTTTCTGAGAAATTACAATTGTTATTTTCTACGAATGTACAAATTAATACCTAATTTAGTATAAAAGTGATTAAAAGCAAATATCAAGAACAAACGTCACATGTAAAGTGAAGACATGCAAAACTCCAGTAGGCAATGCGGGCAGAACTAGACTACTATAAAAAGGACATTAGGAGATGACAACATCACATCCGCAAGAACATCATACGAGCCAGAAAGGGCCAACAACACAGACAATCCAATTGAAAGAGATGGGAGCATCAAACCCGCTGCGTGGTTATAGGAAAGAAGTTGGCACTAGAAATTGATTGAATAAATTCACGAAAGGAGATGACTGGAATACCCGATCTCCGCAGAATCACAGTTTAAGCAGATCATCAGCGAATGCTGGAGCCCATCAAACATCTCTTCAATTAAAAACCACAGCCAGGACTTCGATCTCATTAGTAACTACAGTGGAGGTCCAGAATGAGAGACTTATTTGAGAAATAGTTGTCAATTTTATTATAATTAGCTTTTTTTTCAAATTGACTTGGTCGCAGAATGGATCCGTAGTTCACATTGAGTAACGATAAATACACTTATTGAGTAACGATGGTTACTGCAGATTTACCATTATAACTATGAATTAAATTCATACCAAAACATTCAGAATTCATCTTCTTTGAATAATGTGTTTTATAGAAGAAAAAATAAATTATATTTAATAATTATGAGGAAATTATAATTATTTTTTGTCAAATTTCATTATTGAAAAAACCACCTATACAATTTAAATAGTGACTAATATATTATCAAATTCATCTTTTTTTTGCAAGTAAGTTGCTAATTATCCTCGTATGCAATTTATGTTTTTTAATTACGAAAAATGAGTTATTTTCCGATTTATTGAATCTGATTGTTTCATTTGCTTTTGTTTCTTACTTCACAGTTGTTGCTCCTCGCCTTATGACACTCCTGAGAATCAGCATATTTGGTGGGGATGCCACAGACTTCTTCAAAAACATCACGCTCCAAATAATTGAAGAAAGGAAAAGGACAGGACAGGTAAGGAAACAAATGCACGATTTCCACCCAAATGATTCTTATTGAAGATCTCAAGTTACGTTACTTTGTTTGTTATTCCTTTTTATTACAAACAAATTTTCAGCCCGACTCGTGGCTCAATGCGCCGCTGGTGAGCATTAGGGCTGAGGTGCAATCCGCTGGCGGCCTTGTTGTAGACACTGTTTCATAAAACGAGGAGCCTCGAGGGTGTTTGGGATGTTTAGCATCTTGCTTCGTGAGTCGGACTACCTGGTGGGAGTTTTCCGAGTTTTTTCCTTATACGATATGCAAATATGGCGTAGTTCTCCCTGAAAGTCCTCTCTGAAGGCACTGCCCTACTTCTTCAGTTACACGGAGCAGAAGTCAGACTTCTATCTACGGGTGCTCCATCAAAAATAGAACCTTCCCTCTTTCCATGGACCTTCCCTCTTTCCACGAGGGATACGACAATAACAATTAAAAAAAACGCGCTCCTATTTTAAGCATCAACTGTCTTTGCAAATTTGAATAATGAAAAGTGTGACTTCATTTTTTTTTCATAAATCTTTGATAAAACATAAAATGCTATGTTTATTTATTAACTGATATGACCTGGACTTGACTGGCTTCAGTGAGCAATATACATACATATATATATATATATATATATTATTTTAGTAAGTTTCCTTTAAAAAAAAAAGGAAAATATTGAACTTATTACATTTCATGGCAGTTGATCATTTTATATCTCTACGAAGTTATGGTAATGATGGACGCACAAAAAATATCTCTAATATGCATCTAAAGATTCAAAACAAATCAAACAAAATCCTGAAAATAATTAATAAATACATATAATTACAATTAACCAAAATTAAATTAATTATAAAAATGTATTTAACTAATGTAGACGAAGGAAAACAAAAGTTAAAAAGAGTATCACTGAAATGATTAGCATCCTATCTTATATTGACAAGGCTAGAAAATACCAACAGTCCTAATAGGGTTCCCATAAATAAATGCAGTACCAGTTTGAATTTTTTATTGCTTTCTTGGCAAGCGCCAACAGGCCACAAACCTTCTACTTGATTGGCTTCCTTTGGCAATTCCCTCTAATTTCTCTGTAATGTTAATATAAGGTTTTTATTTTTTTATTTTTTTGACGGATGTTTCCTAATATTGATCATCTTTAAGCAATTTGCATTTTTAACGGTTTTTTTAATGTAACTCCACTAGTTTTTGCAAAAATAAATAAAAAAACAACAACTATAAACGGATTTGAGCGTGGGAACTCTCGTGCCCTAAGCCAGAATCATACTTCTAGACCATCCAACTATGGTATGGATGTAAATAACAATGTTGCACAAGTTTAATGTTGTCTTCCTTTGTTTAATTCAGGTTCGAATCTTGGCGGTGGCATGGATGTTTGTTAGTGATTCGGAATCCCCGTTAAACTGTAGGTCCCGATCTAATTAGCCTAAAGTGTGCACAACATGACAGTAGAGTGACAAACCAAACCATCCTTTGTTTAAATTGGCGAACAATATCGTAAATTAAAATTTTCTTTAGGAAAATTGGAATCGTTCAGGTTTCTTATTTCCTCCTTTTAAAAATGTAGGCTGCGTTTTAATTTGTGCACCTTGGAAGGTTTCACGAAAGAAAAGAAAAAACACCAGGGACTCGACCGGGATTTGAACCCAAAACCTCTCACACCCGAAGCAAGAATCGTACTGTTAGACCATCGAGCCGATAATGGATATTTACTGTTTACTTTTAGAGTACCATCAAAAAGCATATAAACTTGAACTGCACTGTGAACTGTGTAACTGAACTGCAATGTAAACGTGAACTGCAATGTAACTGAAATATGATATGTATAATGGAACTGAATCGATATCTTAATTGAGAAATTATGCTTATTTTACAAAAAATCTCTCTAGGTAAGAAATGATTTCTTGCAACTTTTGATGGACACTGCTAAAGAAGTTTCAGGAAATCAGAATTCGGATGTGCCTGAAAAGGACAAAGGAGACATCGCGTCCAATTACGCTGAGAGTGACGCTGGACATCAAATCTTCAAAACTGTCACCTCTAAAAGTAAGGTTTGATTTATTAGCAGAGTGATTTTAAAGCACTATAAAGACCATTGTTAACAGAATAACAATGACTGCTTTTTAAGTGAGCAGCATTTTGTCATTATTATTTTTTCTATTTATACAAACAAAGATATTCTAATTTAATATGCCACTAATCACCACTATGTGTAATAATTCTCATTTCTATAAAGCTGATTAAAATCATTGGCTTCTATTGTCATTTTGGAGCTTTCTCTGGACTGTTTCACACATTTTAGAAAGTGCAACTTCCTTATACAGAAATGGAAAAAAGTGCAACAACGGGCGAAAAATTGCCCTAATGTGGATAACTGTTACATTTTAAACAATGAAATTTTTTTATGACTTAAACGTAATGCTATCGAATAATAAATTAAAATATATTGGTAAAAAAAACTGGCTTTTTTCTTGGATTATGTAAAAATTATCAAAGTTTGCGAATGGCAGCTTGGGAAAAAAAAAATCAAAGTCATCTGTTGATTACATCATCTGAAAGAATAAATACGGTTGAGGTTGATGGTCGACCAGAGGGCTCTTCGTCTTCAACGCGTTCTCTGCCTTCTTTGAACTGTTTATACCACTTCTAAACATTGCTTTCCGATATAGGAATGCTCACCGAATGCCTTCTGCAGCATTCTACACGTTTCCGCAAACAAAATTGAATGCAAATTCTTTGCTCAATTATTTCAGACACTTCAAAACTCGCCGGAATCAGTTTTAGCGACTCACAATCGTAACTCGAACACTAATGAATATTTTGACGTCAAATTTCTAACAGATGTCAAGGACAGTGCCAGCAACCTAAAAAAAAAGAAAGAAAAAAATTGAAATTCCATAAGCCCCGGGAATTTTAAATTGAAAATTGGTCGTGCTTTTTGGACACAGTAGTGTATATATATATAATATATATTGTTCTACATCTATGAAGGAAAATAATTGTACATTCTAACTCTCTTACCTTACAGAACTCTCACTGGACGAACTGGTAGCCCAGTGCGTGATTTTCTTCTTGGCTGGATACGACACAACAGCTTCCACCTTGTCCTTCGCTTCGTACCAACTAGCTTTGAACCAAAGCGTGCAGGACAGATTGCGCGAAGAAGTGGACCAAGTCATCCAAGAGAATAACGTTAGTTTGCTTGCTTTCTTTTTTAAATTTGATAGCGAGAATTTAATTTAATTTTTATTTTTTTATTGATTGTCCGTTGACAGACTGTTCGTTGGTGTAGTACCGCAGAAAGCTGTAAACTTTGAGAACCTCAGACATTTAAAAAAGATCACATGTTTCACACATGCAGCATATTATAAAATATGACCCGAACACTATCTTTTGGATTACACATACAGGAAAAAATGAAAGAAAAATGTGTTTAGGTGTGTTCTACTTCTTCAATGGCGCAGCAGCCTCATGGTAGGCCATGGCTGTCTGCTTATTGGCAGATTCCGAAACATGAGCTATATTTTTTTATGGGGTAATGTTGTCAACCCAACGCTCTATAGACATATTAGACCGGGACCTACGGTTTGAATGGGATTCTGAACCACTACAAACATCCATGGTACTCGAAGGGACACGAATTCGAAGCATGTGGCACCGAGAGCCAGAGCGTTAACATAGGTGTGTTAGACACTACAATTCAAAAATTATTGTTACAAGTATTTATCGTATCATAATGAAATCGCCCTCAATCTACATATACGAGGGAGATTTTATAGGTACTTAAAAAATACACAGATAGCTAGTATCAAAGCAAGTTTATTTCAGATGAGTATTATCTTTTTGATTGACTGCTGTCAAACTTCCCGTCATATTCGTTGGATGCCTCTATTTTTAAGATCGATTCAAGCAAAATGTCAAAAGCAAGATGAGTGTAACGTTTGTTCACAGTAGGAAAACAAATGCAATCTTGTTGTCAATTCTATTGTTGCTGAAACCATTTTATTAACAAGATTTAGCCAGTGAATTCTTTCTCTTTCCAAATATGAAAAAAATGGTTCGCTGGAAGAAGATTCACGTCTAACGAGTAACCAATGCGTATTTTAAGAACCTTCCAAAATCCTATATTTTGGAATGGCTTGAAGAAACTAGAGAAACGTTGGGCAAAGTGCATCGAGCTGAAAGGTGACTATGTTGAAAAATAAAAACGCGTCAACTAAAAAAAATTTATTTTCTATTCTTTTACAAGTACTTATTGATCTGCCTTCCTATTTAACAATTTTGTAAGATGCTACAATTTGTGGTAGAAAGCCAAGCGTATTTAATAGATAAATTAATCGTCATCATTCTTTTTACTTCATTTTATTAAATTTTTTAAGGATTTTAAAAAGTTTCTGTCCAGCTCTGGGAGATGACGGCAGACCAAAAAAAAAAAAAAAAAAAGCACTCGTCCATGAACTATGAAAATCGTAAAGCTTCTGACAGTTACAGTGGATGAAATAAGAAAAAAAGATCATAAAAGTGTTATTAATGTATTAATATTTTGAAGAGTCTAAGAAATGAACTGGGACCTGATGGCCGAATGACTAGACCTCTTGCTCTCGGTGACATAGGTTTAGGGTTCGAGTCCCAGCGGTGCCATGGATGTTTGTAGTGGTTCGGAATCCACTTTAAACCTTAGGTCCCGGTCTAACCTGCCTGTTAGGCGTAAGACCGAAAACCTTACCGCAAAAAGAAAAACATCTCCTGTCTCAAAACTTACCAGCAAACACACGGCCTTGCCCTACCATGGTGCTGTTGCATCAAGGAAGAATCAGAGAATGTTCATACTTTTCGTTAAGGCAGCGATTAATTATAGATGAACGTTGGTAGCAGATAGTGCAGAATTCAAGGTTGTTAAGGGTGAATGAAACAATTGAATCTATTAATTATAGGTCGAGAAATAAAAAAAAATCGACACGTGCATATATTGACAATGGTGATAGACTGAATAACACGCGATAAAATATTTTAGCAATCTTTATTCTTATGTATGACTTCATACTCCTATACGAAGATAACATTCTTTTATGTACTTAATCTCTCATTTTTTCAATTTGACTAAAATATTTTACAAACACCATGCATAAATTCAATAATATTCTAATTGCTAATAGTTATTAATAATATTTCCTGAATAGAGCAAAAAAAAAACAGCCGTATGAAAGTATTATAGAAAATATTTTCTAAGATAAAACAATTTCAACTTTTTAGAATTAAAAAAAATATTGATATAATTTCAGGAGAATAAAAATAAAAACAATTTATATTTTTTGTAATCGCTTCGAAATTTCTTTACTTATATTAATTTCTTAGGATAAATATCTTCTGTAATTATTTTTGTTCTTCTAAATTTTCATGTTGTGTTAAATTTATTCAAATACTATGGTAAGAAAAGGTTGTTGTTTTTATTCCTCAGAACTGAAATACTCTATTACACAGTTGATTAGATCAAACATTTCAAATTTCTTTATGACTATTTCATAGAAATTCTATACAGTGTCTAGAGAATTAGAACGTCTAAGAAAATGATAACTGCAATTTGGTGCAATCTTCCATTTATCATGAAGATCTTTAACACAACTCCTAAATTTTTCAACAATTATTTTTAGGGCCAACTGACTTATGAAGCTGTGCAGAGCATGAAATATCTTGACAATGTTATCGCTGAAACTTTACGAATGTACCCACCACTAATCAGGTAATATTTATTTGTTTACTAAGGATTTGTTTATCAATTTAGATATTATGATAGAACAATATTTGTCATCTTTTAATCAAAGTAAATTCAAATTTTTTAATGCTCTTTTAACTATCCCAACAATTTTTGTTAATACTGCGAACCTGTTATTAAAAAGAATAACAAATAACTATTACAGTGGACAATTTCGGTATATCATTGTGTACATTATATCTCTAAATTTTATATATAATTACATTAAACATTTTTTATCTTTTTCAAAATTAATATAAAATGTTCATAAAATTTATAATGAATATTTATATAAATTTAACATTTTAATTCTTAATTTTATTCTAATCTTTTATTCTGCCGTCCTCTAAAGACTCATCTTACATTTATCTATGCAAATCTTCATTTTTATATAAAATACTAAAAATATCGAATTGATGATATTATTTTTATATATAAACACATTATTGTATTTAACATAATTATTGTATAAACACATTATTTGATTTTAATCTACTCAATAATATTAATATCACAGTAGATTAATATTGACTTTCAATTTGCCATAAGCTTTCAAAACTTTTGAATTCCTTGCATGAACTAATAGCAAAATTCCATTTTCATTAAGAATCTAATAATAATACAACAAATTACACGTATAATTTAAAATATTTTGTTAGCTTTCAGAATTTTTGTTTTATTATCGTGCTTGTGATTAATTAGGTAGATTCCTTTACAATTTTTGTTTTAAAAATTTTATAGGACTTATGATAACCGGATTGTTACTATGAAATACTCTATCTGATCCGCTTTTCCCTAATTTCTTTTGTACGCATATTCTTTGAATGAAACGCACAAAATAAACTATAAACATTTGTGTTTGTATGCTGCATTAAAAAATTTTAATTGCGATGCATAAAATACATTAGCAATAAATAATTCAGTTATGGAATATTCTTACACAGG